ACAGACAGCCACAGAGGTAGATACAGTTACATGTAAATCAATAATCCCGTATCAGTAAATTGATGAGGACTATGCCGTACACGGCGAGTGTAGAGCTGTGATTACCACTGATAACACAATATGTTAACCTTTACAAGTAATCTTGCATATCCTGGAAAATTTCACTAATTTACCATGTTAACTCCAGACAGCATACGTATGTATGGCTTGAGGATCAGGATATGAATCCAGTAGCTGAATTTCAATCTTTCCTTTTTTTCTACCTTAAATATTTCTAATCCAATTTTCCACAAAATAATGTATCGCAATGCACCCGATATTGTAAAACGTGACTTGGTTTAAAGTACAGTATGTCATCTATACAAGCCGACTTGTGTCGGTGTTCTGTGAAGTTAATAATGATCCATTCTCAAAATAAAGCATTCTCGCATTTTGCAATTTGTTACCAATGATAATGTAGTCACCCTCCAAGTTGACACTCATGAAACGTGCTCATTAGTCAAACACACTCTCCCTTATTACAATATGTTAGCACTGATTATCAATTCTAAACAGCGAAACACCCTTTATGTTTCAACAAATGACCCATGCTCAATTGTTAAACACCGTCTCTTATTTAACAAATCATACAACTGAAAGACATATCTAGAGATACAAAGTTATTCCGGATATTGGGTCATAATTTATAACTTTCCAACTGCTACACAACATGTCCCATAGGTAACAATTGTGATTTCCAAGATTTATCCGATGATCACAGGCAACTTTAGATCTCGTAGGCTACTGACAGATAACTTTAGATCTCGCAGGCTACTGACAGATAACTTTAGATCTCGCATGTTACTGACAGATAACTTTAGATCTCGTAGGCTACTGACAGATAACTTTAGATCTCGTAGGCTAATGACAGGTAACTTTAGATATCGTAGGCTAATGACAGGTAACTTTAGATCTCGTAGGCTAATGACAGGTAACTTTAGATCTCGCAGGCTAATGACAGGTAACTTAAGATATCGTAGGCTAATGCCAGGTAACTTTAGATCTCGTAGGCTAATGACAAGTAACTTTAGATATCGTAGGCTAATGACAGGTAACTTAAGATATCGTAGGCTAATGACGTTTTGGTCTCATAATTTGAGTTTGAGCTTGAGAATGGCTTGATGAATTTGGCCTCTGACATGTTTTATGGTTGAAACCAGTGCAATACTGAATTTGCTTGTTGTGCAAACTAAACTCTTTTTTGTAACTAATTGATTATGAGTGTAATGTGTCGTTTGTGGTGCTCATCATTTTGTATGGTAAGCTGGTGTGAAGACAATTAAATCAGATTTTCACTGAAACGTGTACGTTAACACTACTTTTCAATTCCTTCGACAAAAATCAATTTTAATTTGAATAATGTCTCGTTAAGCTAATACAGAATGCCTTTAATGGGTTCTAGGGTGTAGAAACAGGGTTGACAACAACACCAACAAGTGTGTAAAATCGGGACAGGGTTGCTCCTATTACTGCTAATGAGTCTCTCGTTTCGCCTCTTTCCAGATCAACTGTTCGACGGTAAGCTCGCCAACGGTAAGTGGAAATATCTCCTTATTTTATTTTACTTGCTTCCGTGACATCCATCAGTCGCTGCCATATTGATCACGATAATGACTCCCCCGGGAAACCTTGCAGTAAAGATTTTCCGCTTATGTTCCACACCGCATTTTACAAATCAGTGATTTCCGGAAAGCACAGAGATATCTTTAAAGTTCCGGAAAGAGATTTGTAATGATTAAAACCGATCAGGTTAAACTACGGATGGGATGATTTGTAATGAATTCCTACTGGTACAGAAATTAGAATAGATGAGAAGATTCACCTCAGAAACGAAATGCTATAATCGTGTACTTAAAGAGTTACACACAATCTTCCGATGTTCCTTTGAATATTTCTCAATTAGTTCCCAGGTAGGAGACACCTTAAACCTTGTTATGGTATCAGAATATCAGATAACGGGGAATGATAACTTGTAATGTTTGTGATATAAGATAGAAAAGACGTTTACGTTGGTAATACTTGGAACATCAGGTACATATGGGAGATGCCTATTGCTTACAATGATCTCAGTTAGATAATATCTTGGCACTTTCATAATAAAAAATATATATTCTTCTGATAGTTATTTACAAATATTTATACAGACATATATCTTCTCTTAGCACTTCCACCGTTTCAAGGCTTTTGATTATTTAGAAAAAAAATGAAAAGAGACAAAAGCACATCTAGTATTTCTAGTCTCGAATCTTTTAATTGATTTAAAAAAAAACACTAGAAAATGTAATCCAATACGCTGTACAGAAACTTTACAAATAATTACTACTGTACCACATTCTATTGCTACTATTTTCTGAACAAATAGATATTTGTCCTTACCGTGTTGTTTCATTCGAAGAATTTTAACAACGATGGTAATCACATTTCTATGGTGTTGTTGCAATATTATTATAATCAAGTCGAAATTCTTTCATTTTTGTATAATAATAGCAATCGATTTGGACCAGTTTCAAACGTTCAATTGTTTTCATATTGGCAAATAGAATTTAAAGTTATAGAGAAATTAAAGCAATAATACATTTATCATGAAATGTATACGTTCGGTAAAATACAGCAAATGACGCCGTATAACGTATATACAAAAAATACCGCTATAGACAACCCATGTACATTCCTGGCGAGGTAATTATGATGGTAATATATGTATTCCAAAGTTATTTCAGGTAATAAACAGGTATATTTAATGGTATATGTCTGTTACAGAAGTCGATTGTAAATTCTCCCTGTATGATGCCGGCCTGCAGAAATTTGTCCACTCCAACTGGACATGGCGGACACTGACGGAGAAAGGCGACCAGGTGATCTGGTGCAACCATAGAGCCATTTTCATTCCATTCTCATCAGCACCCAGACACTGCCAGGACAAGCTGGAAGACTTTTGTAAAAAGGAGACAGAATGTCGGCCAAAAAAGAAGATCATGAAAAACAAAGGAGACCGAAAACACAAATGTTGGAAGAAGTTCCTCTTAGACGAGGTATCCCCTAAAGGTTTTCCGAACATTTCTGAAAAGTACCATGTGTGTCAGCGGTTTGCCCCGGGAACGGAGTTTGCGGACATTTTCGGACCCAAGTCTACACAGTTTGCCACAGTTTACGACACCGAGAAGCGTGGCCCTGTCATGTCATTTGCACGCTTCAAGGACCTAGGAGACTCACTCAGGCCTACGCTTTCTTTCATGTTGGAGAAAGGTTAGTCTACCCATACACACGACCTCCTCAATATTTAATCCGAAAACAAACAGTGGTACCGAGACTTTCCCATGTTACTTTCATATTCTAACACACGTTTGAAAAAATATTTTTTCTCAGGTATATTCATTATAAACAAGGTAGAAGTCATTGTATTATCAAATGTGTTTATATGTTAGCTAGCTTTGAATCTTTGTATATATATTGCACAATAATACAAAATAATGATGTCATTTAAATGCAAATTACCACCTTATACATTTGTCTTCATTCTGACGTCACGTCACAATGACAACAATACAACGTGAAATACTATGTCAGGTTGATAGAGTAGTTAACGCCATGTTGGATGAGATGAGGAAATAATAATCGAAGGGATAAGATTTAGAAATCGCTTGCTGAGTTTTAACAATTACATCGTCTTACGCCAATGATTAAGCTCTGTTCATTTCGCTCTCAGAAGGATGGGTATTTTGTTCCTCCACCCCTCAAAGTGGGGAGTTATTATTTCCGTCCGCTATTAAAATGATTAAAAAACAAATACTTTGTTTGACAAGCTCTTACCAAGTGACGTCATCAAATTGTCTTCATTACCATGCCATACCCTATAGGTTTTCTGACCCTAGGATGATACAAAATAATCTCACATTGGAAAAATTATAGATACCCCTGTCCATGATATGATATATACACTGTCATTTGACTTGTTTCATACCCCTGGTAATTCGATGTTGTTTTTGATGCGAGAAAGTTAAGTGGGGTCGACTTTTGGACACCAAAAGCTTTCCATTCTTCTCGTTTATATAATCATTGGGGGTGGCATTTTTACGGAAAGTCGATCTAAACCCCAAAACATGTAAAATACTCTCAGCACCTTAGTCCAAATATAGCGGTAACAATGTATAAGGTCCCTGTGTGCATAGCTATTGCGTCGGTTGCTTTAGAATATCCAGGTTTAAGCGTTAACAAAGTTCAGATTTCTGGTTGGCACAGAGAGTATATCCCTTGGTAAGTCAAACCCAAATAGTTACCCAACGTAAGATTCCTTTTGGTGCAACATTTACGTTCTGGATTCTGTTTGTTCCAGGTCTTCTCCCTGTTGACTACACCCTCTTCAGTTTGTTCTTTGAACAAAAGCGAAGGGGCATGATGCAGAAAAATGTTGAGACCAAAGAGCAGATCTGCCAAACTGGACTATACCAAGCTCTGGAGAATGACTACGAGGAGTCTAAGTACCATATGATGCACTTGCTGTCTCCTGACATAGCCGGGTTTGGAGTGAGTAAGAGGATTGCTACATATACAGTAACCAACACCCTACCAATCCACATCTCCTTGTTCACGGCGTGGAACCAAGCCGTGCACAACGTCCGGCGTTTTGCAGTCGATCACTGCAGCATTCCTATATATTCAGAAAGCGACCAAAACAAAAAACGTCGACAGTCACATGACTATCCGGAAGTGTATGTTATAGCTGGAGCGGTGCCGTCAACTAATCCGGAAGTGTTGCTGAACAAACGTGTGAACATTCCATATTTGGTATGGATGGCTGCCTGCTGTGTTCGTGGAGCAGAAACGTCTTCATTTTCTGTGTACGTGCGGAACGACATCAACAGCCCAATCATTGTAGCACCAGTGGTTCAGTTGGAGGTCTTGTTGTCTGATCTATATAACGATGGCGGACAAAACTCGGTGAAATTGTTTCCGGCCTTTGAAGGTGTATGTTCGAATATCCAACATGATGTATCACAGGTCATCAGCGCTTAGTAGATCACGTGTGCTCACCGTAGACACCACATTGTACGTCAACAATTTGTGTACCATGGACAATGGACACCGGCAGTAAATAAACGACAGCATCAGGTGCACGTGGACTATCGGTGGAATGCGCTACGTCACTAGAGAGGATAAAAGGCAAACGATTCAATAGAAGAAAAACTAAGATTACTGAGTATAAAACATTGATGAACGAATGAAAAACAGTCACCATATAAGCGATAAAAATGCAATCACTTTGCTGTCCATTTCAAAATCGATTTGCATGACCAAACCGCACGTGCTGATAAAACACACAGCTAGCAAGGTGTCCGAACATGTGGTCCCGGTACAACATGTGACAGCGTAGTATGAATGCCTTTTTAAAAATAGTATAATCTGAAAACGCCGGAGATGTTTCCGAATGAACTGTCTAATACGGACTTATTCGGCCTTGTCGGATGCTTCACATCATCACAAGGGACGTTTCTCCAGTTAATGGCTCGTCCTGGCCCGATTTATGATCACATAGGTTTTGTAGCTAGATCAGTCAACCCCGACTGTTACAATGGTGAAAACATTGGCTATATGTGGAATATCCATCTACTATCATTGTGTTATTACTAACGTATGTTAACTCAAAATTCACCAAACATGAGAAAAATGACGGTTGCACGCGGCCATGGACGCTTGATTAAAAAACCTTAACAAACAGGGGACGAGCGGAAACTGCTTAATTAAAACAAACTAGTTTTGAAAGGCAACACTTGCACTGTACTATCGTAGCATCCTGATACTATCAAACATTCACACACGACGAATAGAATCACTGACCTATCTCCTTCAGTTCAATAAATGAGCGGATACCACACAAACATTTGTGTAAACGCGATCTGTGTCGATAGCAATACTGAGTACATTACTTCGATGGAAAGTAGTGGGGCGCCCCCTGTACACATTCCTTTGTTAAATACTTGTTTATAGAACGTTTGCATTGTATATATATGCTGTATTTGTAAAGCATCTGAGCAAGACAAAGAAGTTAGGGGAAAATGAAAGCAAAGCGCTGTTGGCGAATACATGATTTGTAAACAGAGGATAAAACATCTAAGATTGTCAAAAACTTTTGTTTTTGTTTACAATTTGCTCGACATATAGCTGCGCCATTTTACGTGCTAATTAATGTATGAAAACTAAAACTACGTTTTGTATATATCTCTCACAGTACTCAATACAAAGTCACGGTGAATGTTCTAACTAGGTGTCCACGTTTTACAATGTCTTTTCTTAAAAGAACTTCTAGAAATATTCATACATTATTACCCTTCGAGATCAGTTATTTCGGTTAACAGTTCATATATGAATTTACAGTATTTTATGGATATATATACATATACATTAAATTGAATGCATACTAGAGAAACACATATGGTGTATTTAAAGCAACACGAGCTGGTTTTTATACTGGCGAAATACCCTTGATTGAACTGGATTTTTTATTGGGTAATCATATATGAAATGTATTGAGTAACGCGGTAAGGCGATTCGTTTTTATACTTAAGACTAGGATATATTCTGTGGTATGTGAAGAGCAGGTCTGAACTCGAGTTTGTACTTAAGACTGTATGACTATATTCTGTGGTATGTGTAGGGTAGCTCTGAGCTCGAGTATATTCTGAAGACTGTATGACTATTTTCTGTGGTATGTGTAGGGTAGCTCTGAGCTCGAGTTATTCTGAAGACTGTAGGACTGTATTCTGTGGTATGTGTAGGGTAGCTCTGAGCTCGAGTTTATATTTAAGACTGTATGATTATATTCTGTGGTATGTTTAGTGTAGGTCGGAACTCATGTTTATACTAAAGACTGTAGGATTATATTCTGTTGTATGTTTAGGGTAGATATGAGCTCGACTTTATATTTAAGACTGCATGATATATTATGTGGTATATTATGTGATTGTGTATAGGGAAGCTCTGAGCTTGAGTTTATACTTCAGACTGTTAGACTATATTCTGTGGTATGTATAGGGTAAATATTAGCTCAAGTTAAAACTTTAGACTGTATGACTATATTCTCTGGTATGTTTAGGGTGGATATGAGCTCGAGTTTATACTTAAGACTGTAGGACTATTTTCTGTGGCATGTGTAGGGTAGGTCTGAACTCGAGTTTATACTAAAGACTGTATGATATATTATGTGGTATATAATGTGGTATGTATAGGGTAGCTCTGAGTTCGAGTTTATACTTAAGACTATTAGACTATATTATGTGGTATGTTTAGGGTAGCTCTGAGCTCGAGTTTATACTTAAGACTGTAGGACTATAGTCTGTGGTATGCATATGGTAGCTCTGAGCTCGAGTTTATACTTAAGACTATTATACTATTTTCTGTGGTATGTATAGGGTAGCTCTGAGCTAGAGTTTATATCTAAGACTGTTATACTCTATTCTGTGGTATGCATATGGTAGCTCTGAGCTCGAGTTTATACTTAAGACTGTAGGACTATATTCTGTGGTATGTATAGGGTAGCTCTGAGCTCGAGTTTATACTTAAGACTGTAGGATTATATTCTGTGGTATGTATAGGGTAGATATTAGCTCGAGTTTATACTTAAGACTGTAGGATTATATTCTGTAGCTTTATGTGATGGTTTGAATCACCTGTGTACATAGCATTAAGCACTTGATGTTCAGTGTCATTGCAATAGACTCTTTTTATTTTGTATTTGTTCGCATAATAATGAATTTTCTGATACTGCATGTCGAACGCAATACATAAATTTGTATTATATTTCATTTCATTTGCATGCGTTTACATATCATCAGTATAGTACATATTTTCGTAACATGAATGAAAAGTGACTAATCCTATTATCATATACGCCTATGTCACCGTGTATGTATGATACCTTGCTTTTCTACCATAAAACCTGTTTATGGTGAACGCAAGCGAACATATTTCTGTTCTTACTAGACATGTGTTTACATTGAACTTGATCGATTGTCATACATGGGACCTTGTTACAAATTTTATGATGACACTTATTCTAAAGCGTGCAAAAACGTTAGAAACTGTGATTAAGTCAGTACCTGGTTATCAATCGACTTTGACAGTTTATTTCGAGACATTAAACATTTTGGTTTTCAAGACAACAAATGTAATAAAAAAAATGGAATGCCAAGAAGCGTCCTTTCTTGGTTATAGTTTAGAACACGATACTTTGAGATTGTTCCTGTATGAATGAGTACAGAAGTCGATGTATGCCTCTTGAAATAGCAAACTATGTCCTTAGTATTACTTAACTATCTTCTAATTACGACAGGGACATCACCATGGGGTAACTAGTAGCATATGATATGTCGTGATTTCGATCTTAACATACTATTAGTAGATCCATATATGGTCACTCGATCTGTTTTATTACATAAATGTACACAAATTCTTCATACTCGTAAGGACAATTTTTACTTTTGTTTGCCATGATACATGATCAGTAATTTTGTGAAGGACTGCTTCATTTCTTTTAATCAGAAATGCGTACATGGATTCATTATTAAAGGTTTTATTTGATTTTATAAAATAATTTTTTGACAGAGAACATACCTTTTTTTTCACACGGTACAAATTATTCTACATATGAGAAAGTAGGTCATCTTGATAAACATGACGTCATAACATTGAAACTAGTGTGACTGAGAACTAATTAGACATAAATCAATTATGTGTTTGTTGATATTCACTTAAATATTCATTTAAATTAATTTTGTGTACGTCATCATGTGTTATGAGGTGTACGGATAAACATTCCAATGTAGACGTAATGTCAGCGCAGGTTGTGATCCCATTATGTCCAGTCCGTTATTTTATACCATATCATATAAGTTACATATATAGTTATCACTAAACTGCTTTGATGCTAAAATGTATAAATGTATATTAGACGACAAATTAAGGCTAACATTTATGATATCATATTTGGATTTTGTTAAGTTGATGGCAACGGAAGTGACGCAAAAATTATGTCACGTTGCCCCGAACGTGACGTCAATACATTTTCTTGTTATTCTCTAATAATGGCATTGATAATATCCATAATAGTAACTGAAATTAGAAAATTTGAAAAATGGATTTAATGAAATGGATTCATGAAATTAATTTCGTAATAGATATGAACAGCAATGACAATAAATCTAACGAAGCTGAAGGCTTTACGAGCACTGTACACGCCACGCCGAGATTATTTATAATACTGTTCACAATACCTGATCTGGTTCACGGAGTTCTGTTATACCAGATATCGATTGCTAGCTTGTAATAACATCACTCACGATCTTACCCCACCTCCTAAAAACCGACCGTAGTTATAGGCTAAGCTATATTTTGTGAAACCTACGGATAATTGAAATGTCTCGTGAAGAGTGTTTATTATGGGAGTACTGACTGTCCTTATTGTTCTGTTTGTGTTACGTATATATATAAACTTTACAACATTACCATTCTGATGATACATTTTACTAGCGAGTCTATATGTAAGTCAACAGCAGACATTGGATTCTTTACAGGTCGATCATATCACAGCTAAACATTGTAACATCTTCTCCCTTCAACAATATTTGAAGTTTTCGTGTTCACAGGATCACGAACATGAAACTTTGCAAAATGTTTGAAGCAAAATTAAAATCTGGCGAGGATATTGATTTTAGATTATAACCAGGATAAGTCAACGCAAACTATAGCATCTCAATAAAATTACATTATTATGAATTATCTATACCATATCTTTTCTACCATTAGCGGAAAAGGTTTAACACACGCATTGCAGCTAGTTCCCAGACGTAAATCTGATGTGGTCCATTTAACCGCGTCAAACTGACTTAATTGATATAATTAAGCGTATCTGCTAATTCGTGTCCAAAAGATTAGATATCTAATGTTAAAAACCAGTGCAGGTGTAACTTCGTCAAATAGGTATTACTTGAATCATTCTAACGAATAATGCTGTGGTCATCCCATCGAATATTTATGTTGTCATTCTAACGAATAATGCTATTTTGGTCTTTCTATCGAATTAATGCTGCGTTCATTCCATCAAATAATACCATTCCATAAAATAATGACGTAACCTTTCCATCAAAAACACTCCATCAAATGTGTCATTCCATCAATTTTTCTCCGTCACTACTATAACAGTGGTAATTCTACCATGCCTACGGTATATAACTTGTCCATTCAACATATTAATGCTATACATTCATTTTTTCAGAGTTCGAGTAAAATACCATTACTTAAGGAATAGGATTCTTATTGAAAATAAAACATAAAATACATGTTTGATAGTAAGAATATTATGAATCATAAAGAATGTTGAAGAGTTTAAGGTGTATAAAAAATAAATAAAGATGAAGAAATTCATATTAATTTGCAATAATCATGAATATATAGGTACATTGTATGAGGGTACAGGTTAAAAGCTATCGTCCCTTATCCGTATTTTCCCGCTCAGAACCTCGTCAAGATATATCTTATCCTCACTTAATGAATCACAAGGTAAAAGGTACTAATATTCTTCCATCAACATCTTACATTTGGGACACTACCGGGTTTCCTCCCTTTACTAGAATGATCTCACAAATTATTAACAATATCTGTTATAAAAATATTATTTGTGCCACACAGGACGGAGTGAATATTGAATAAGACCGCATGGGTCACCCATGTGAGATGTAGACAGACAGATTATGTCTCTAGCGTGTTGTGAGACTGAAGATACAACATCAATGCGTGGTATGAAAAGATAGAATATGCCTCCTAACTAATGAACACAAAAACCTTCACCAAATGGTGGGTATATATGTCCAATGCGGACAGAGTGATTTCCTGTCTACATCACACAAAGATAGGACCCTTTTACTTTTCTGTCATCTACGACCGTTTAACAGAAATCCAAGGTACAATTCCTATATGTACACAACTTCCCAATAGACAAAACAAATCTACCAAATCATCACAGAACCTTGTCCGGTTGGCCTGTAAAATCGCTCAAATAAAACAGGGAAAACTATTTTGTTCGTGTTTTAGTATTTTTCCGTCTCGGTCACTATCTTGCTTTATTGGTGATATGCAGCCATTGTAAGGAGGAAATGCCGGTGTCGCCCTTTGTATTAAACATGAGTAAAGAATAATCTTGTTTGTGAAATATGTATCATCCTTAACATTAGATTTAAGATATCTGTGATGCATTGTTTTATTTCAAAATGTTCCTTTGTTGCTTCAATAAAAAATTAAAAAAATGTTGAGCCGAGTCTTGTTTTTTCAACCCTTCCCCCAATGTTTCTTGTGATTTCATATGATGTCCCCTCATGGGTTTAGTTTAAACTTGCAACTTAAAATCTCTTTGATGTCAGGTCTCACATAAACAAGTCTTCGCAGTTGCTTCATATCGTACATTTCCTTTTCGAAGAATTTTATTACTTCTCAACTAGTACGTAAAGGCCGTTTCATTCTCCTATTCCAATGTGGTGTCCACATCAGGGAAGTCAGGCAACCATTCAATTTCCCATTCTTTTGGTTTTTGGTTTGGTTGTGCTTTACGTCCATTAACAGCTCAGGTCATTTAAGGACGTGTCAGGTTTTGATATTGGAGGAAAGTAGGAGTTCCGGCGAAAAAAAACAGAGACCAATACTCAGTACCTGGGGACTGCCCCACGTAGGTCTCGAACCTGCGGCCCAGTGACGGAGGGCTAGTGGTAGCGGAATGTCGGACGCCTTAATCACTCGACCACCGCGGCCAGTTTCCCATTCTCACAGGACATCACCAATGTATTGCCATCTGTGAACTTCAAAGGTGTTCGTGACAGAGTGTATTCTAATTCTGCCAGATTATCATATTTATTCTCCTCTGAACCATGTGTTCAGCTGGTAGCAGTCTTTCTTAGTGATCTTCTAACGCTCAGAGATATACTGTTTTACTGAAAGAATATAAGTCATATATTCTGTTTTTGTCCTTATGCTGTATTTGTTTGTTCCCTAATCTTTCGAAGGTGGTAAAGGACATGCATTGCCTTCGCTATAAGACTTTTGGTGATGTCTGCTGTTTAACTAGTGGAGCGATGTTTGTCTTAGCTGCCATGATAAAAACCTTCCCAAGCAGCAATGCCACCCGCGTCACTTGTCTGCCTTTGAAGATTTTAATCACTTGATGACAGCAAAACAAGGTCTTCTACAAAGAGTAGATCCTAAACTGAACTAAATGTTGAACTATTCAAAGTTAATGCCCCTTTCTCTATTGTAGCATATTCATTTTCTAGTCAATCACCAGAAATAATGGAAAACTACAGCCCCTACCTTCTGTCATAATTATAGAAAACTAATTAGAAAGTTGCCTTCCGTGGTCTGCCATAGACAAACAGACCTTACTCTCCTATCTTTGCCGTTTCCTCCTCTCTGCTCTCCTTACAACATTCTGCGCCATGCTGTTTACTGATCTCTAGTTTACTGATGTCCCTGTTTACTGATCTCTAGTTAACTAATCTCTAGTTTACTGATGTCCCTGTTTACTGATGTCCCTGTTTACTGATCTCTAGTTAACTAATCTCTAGTTTACTGATGTCCCTGTTTACTGATCTCTAGTTTACTGATCTCTAGTTTACTGATGTCCCTGTTTACTGATCTCTAGTTTACTGATGTCCCTGTTAACTGATGTCTCTGTTTACTGATCTCTAGTTTACTGATCTCTAGTTTACTGATGTCCCTGTTTACTGATCTCTAGTTTATTGATCTCTAGTGTACTGATGTCCCTGTTTACTGATCTCTAGTTTACTGATCTCTAGTTTACTGATGTCCCTGTTTACTGATGTCCCTGTTTACTGATGTCCCTGTTTACTGATCTCTAGTTTACTGATGTCCCTGTTTACTGATGTCCCTGTTTACTGATCTCTAGTGTAAGCAATTATCTCACTGCTGCGGCGTATGGCTGTTTTAATGTGTTTGATTTCATTTTTCCTCAATCTCAATTTCATATTTGTCTTGTAAGTTCTGAACTTTTTCTCCAATTTAAGCTTTAAAGACTAACCTTTTCTCAAGACCTTAAACTAATGTTGACCAATGCATGATTGCAGAGCTTCAGCCTGATCCAGTAAATAATTAATCTATATCTTGTAATTTGATGAACATCTTGTCAATAGTGATATATTGTATAATCCAATTGCTATATTTTGTTCCGTCATCTTTGGTTATGTATGTTATAGCATTTTTGTGTGTGTAAAACAGCCTATCACAGTGTTCATTGATCTGCTGCATTGGAGAAACAGTTCCCCATTTTTGTTATGACACGACACTCTTGCATTTCATGACCTCACTCCCTCCTCCCTCAACCCGTTCTCAATCATCACCCCTTGTTTGACAAATACGGCAATCATCACCATTAGCATATCATGTGTGAGTTGGTTACGGGGTGACTTTCACATCAGGCATCAATGAATGTTTTCCTTGTAAACTTGATGTTCTATAAGTAGAATCTTGCTGTGATAATTCCTTTCTTTTGACGTATGACAGAAGGCAGCTGTCAATATTAAGATGCATTTTAGACTCCGTTGGTCAAGTAGAAAGTGTATGTGCAAACGGTAAATTTAGTAAAAATAAAGATAAACATGTGTCAGTGAGAACACTCTTAAATTGTTTAAATGTTTGACATAGTTATCTCGGATGGCGTCATAATTAATCAACGCCGTAGTACCACTTCATCACGTTCATTTATCGTATGTTTTTTTACACTACAAGGGCGTGAAGATCCATCTGTTACAACAACTGCCTCAGATAGCCCTTCCCAAACGCCCTAATAGAAAGCTGCCGCTTCGATTTAGGCCATGTTCAGTTGTCTGCAAAAGTGGCTAATGCGATCGAATTCATTTTTTTAATTTCGTTATCTGATATCAATGCCAGTATTTTTGTATAAAAAGATCCAATGTTGGATAGGATTTCTAACTATTAACAACATTTCAAGAATGTCTAGAATCAATAAGTTTCTTTTAGAAATGCATGCATCATAATGTTTTCATTTAGAAAGAAGACTCGGATGCTCCTCAACATTACCGGTAACTGATTCCAATTCAGAAACTGAGTGCATGTATGGCATGAAATCATATATTGATTGGTGACAAAAACTCATATTTATCTACATAACGACCCTTCATTCTGTGTTCGTTTTACATGTGCTGGAACTTTACAGTTCCTAGGCCAACGATGCTGATAATTCCATATGTGAGCGTAATGCTGCTGGTTGGAAGAGAGCCTAAGTACTCCGTAGAAAGACTAGCTGAAATCCTCAGGGATAATATCCCCTATGCACTTAGAAATTCAAATGTGTTTGGTCCATATTGAAGCTGACAACCCACTGCATTAAAGGTGGCTGGCTGCATTATTGACAAATCTTTAGAGACTCTTTGAGGGTTTGTCGACCGTTTCAATTCATTTATGTCTATAAATAAGTACAGCACATCTGTACGGGATGCTATATATTTTTGGAAAATGAAAATACCTTTGTCGATCTTATATTGGTCAATCGGTGTTCTATATTTCCTTAGAACCAAACTTATAAATGTTACGTACCAAGGGATATAACTATATGATAAATTTTGTGCTGTCTTTGAAAAATAAGATGATAGCTCCCAAAGCTAAACGTTTCCCTGATCATTCTCCATACAACATTGACGCGAAAAAGGTGAAATTTACTCCTAAATCTAACAAAAATGCAAATAGATAATTTGAACATATATCAAAAGAGTCTTTTTGAGTAAAAACCCTGTTTTGAGGATTTGACCGTTAGCAGTCGACGTATATCACAAATTTTATGACATGCAAAGCAAACACTTGAAAACAAGTTGAATGCAAAATGTAAACATCTGAAGTAGGGGAAGCGCGGATGTTACAACCATAAAAGGGAAAATTACCGATTTATTACAAGTATCATATTGCATGGATATGACTTTAATATACATGATAGAACATATTTTCCATTGATCCTGCAAAGCAACATCGTTATTTTAACATTGTTTTTTATTTCCTTATCATTTAGTAAACTCAATTGAAGAATTTACTTGAAAAAATATGCCTATGTCTGTAATAGTGCTTGAAGAATTTACTCCTTAATACGTTTAAAAAAAGCACATGGCTTGAGTCCTTTGATTGTTGAAGGAGACAAGTAATTTTTTTAAATATTTCAAACCAGTTTTTGACAATATGCATGAAAATAAGGTAACAAGTGTTAATCTATTGAGTTAAAAACATAAAATTGCATTGCATTTTGAGTTTTACTCGCAATGTTCCACAACTATTTATGGGGGCATGTTCAATTGAATATACATTACGATTTCTGAAACTCTACGTGGGGTAGTTGTTTTAGGGGAAGAGACTCCAGGTTTGAAATACTACTGACAGAACTGTCAAAGAGGTTTTTTAACAATTACCCCACATACCATGTTTATCCTATTCAATTAACTTAGAAATCAACGAGCCCTAACAAAGCCAAGTATAACCTTGTATTACCTAACACATAACGTCATTATCCTAGATCAATTTACCTAGCAATCAGCGATCCCACAAAGTCTTCTCTAGTCTTGTACAGTAGACCTTAGTAACAATAACACATAACGCCATTAACTTTGAACGATTAACTTCGCCTATTTGACATTGTTTTAACATTAAGGTATATTATTACACTTGGAATACAACGCCAAAAATGTTTTTCTACCTTTACAATATAAATAATATATAACTATACTGCAAGGTCATTAATATATCTAAATTTTATGTAGTCGGATTATGATTCTAGAATCAAGAAATACAACAAACGGCATATGGTTTTGAAGAATATATAAGATCTTTTGATCAATCTTGAACATCCTCCTCTAAACAATATTTCTTCTATCAAAACGTTTGACACTCCGAACTTTTACTCTATCCTCTTCTTATATCAACTTCAACGAACGCCTACGTTCTCTTTTATGATATTTTTCTTACTAAAGGAAGATATACGGCGTTATAAATACATGATTGTAAATTGTTTTGGAACATATTTTGGTGGGATAAAAACGAAGGCGAAAAAAGAAATAAACTCAGGACGATATTGTGAGGATGACTGAGTCCTGGTTGACAACATCTTTGTTAAGTTGGATGGCAAGATGTTTCAGCAGACGGAATCCCAGATAAGGTTTTCAATTTCACATTCAGATAAATGGACGATGTGCTGCCTTGCATTACAAGAAATTCATTGACCACATTGATCGTACATTCCCT